CCCCAAAACCCCAAAACCCCAAAACCCCAAAACCCCAAATATTTCTACCTAATTGAAGAATTCGTTAAGAAAAATATTTTAGTAACCCTTAATTATGACTAAGTTCTTCCAAAGCCTTAATCACCTTCTTGATCATCAATAGATTGGTGTAGTTGTGGTCAAGTCAGAGGAACTCTGAGATATTCTTAATACATGTTTCGTCTTGTAAGAATTCGCTAACCTCATTCGCTCTCAGGAGATCCATCAACTGTTCATTGACTTTCATTTGAGTAAAGAAATTCTCCGAAGATATTATTTCAACTGTGTTTTGTTTGTTCTTTGTCCGCACAATTTGGTCATAGATTGAGCCATCAAAGAACTCATAGACTGAAGTATCAGTGTCCAACAGATAATCAGTGAATATTGCAAGGATTTTGAGAGATTCTTTTGATAATTTTTCAAAATCAAGTTGCCTCTTTTTCTTCTTTCTTGGATCTTCTGTTTCAGTGTTCATATCATCCTCTATCGTATTGGAAACTCCATTCCTATCGAATTCATTTACCCCAAAATTAGATAGGATATCTTTGAGGTCAGATGCTTTTATTTTATTATCCAAGCCATCCTTCTTGGTTATCCTCAAGGCGGCATTCAGTTCATCAGAGCTCAGCTCAGCAACATTACTATTCTTGATAGTATTTTCAAAATCTTCATAAGCAATATACTCAATTTCTTCATCTCCAAAACGGGTTGCTTTAATATTCCCTTTGAAAAGGGTGGACACATTCTCGTTTCTCAGAAGCATCCCTTGTGCAATTTTAGCATATGCTTCCTCGGCTATTGTTTTGAAGTAAGGCCTACCTATATTGATGATATCTTCCATATTCCCCTTATCTGATAGTTTTGAGTCAAGACTTTTCTCCGGCTCTTCATATTTGTATTCTACAGTGTAAGAGAACACTTCTTTGTAGGGATCTTACCTGATTCCTTATCCAAATTATTAAGTTCATCAATCTGGTCATCAGTCTCATTAAATTTAACTGAACTTTCACTGTTTTTCTTTTGGAATTTTATTTCTGGCTCATCATCAGAAAAATCTAAATTTTGGTTCTCCTCTTCCTTTTCATGATTTTTCTTGACTTCCTTTGAAGCCGTACTCTTTTTAGGTTTTCTGTCGCTTTCTTGGTCTTTAGGATCTTCGAAGCCGCTGTATTCATCATCACCATCATCATCTTCTTTGCCATCGACATCAGAGACACTGTGGGAATCTTCCTTTGGTGAGAATCTTTCTTCAACAGCATGGTGTTTTACAGGAGAATTATCATGGCTCACGCCATCTTTTGATGATTTCTCTTCCTTGATTGAACTTAACGACACATTTTTAGCAACTTCTTCATGAACAAGCTTAATGTTCTTCAGCTTCCGGACATCCTTTGTCTCTTGGTAGAGTAGCCAGATAAGAAAATCATACTGCTGCTCTGATAAGAGAAGGTCTACAGTAGTCAGGGCTTCTTTCAGTCCTGAAATAGTAAAGCATCCCTCATGGTCTTCCTCAAATTCTATAGCAGCATCAAAGGTTTCTCTATAGTTCTCAATTAACTCAATAATCTTTAGCTGAGTGTCTATACAAAGATTAGGAATAAAATTACTTGTATTTTGGTCAAATTTATTTGAATCTCAGATCTCTTGTGATACTCTTAGTTAACAAATCCCTTGAAGTTTTATTCTCTCCATCACAGATCTCAACTCACAGCTGGTCAATTTCCTGTGGAGCCGAGTAAGCCATGAAGCTTTGAAGTCTCTTGGCCAATGTCTCACAACTAATAGAGACTTCCTTTGCATTATTTGTGAATATTATAGTATCAATAAGTTCAGGGATTCCTATCCCATATTCATTCAACTTGCACCTCAACTGAGCGAGAGCATCAGATAGCTCAGAGATAGGCTTCCTCTTCTCCTTTTTAGCCTTACTCGGGCTCGAAGACTTTTCTTCTTCATCTTTCTTTTTCTGTTTTGAAGCACTAGCTTTTCGAGGCTCTCCTTTTGAAGACTTTTTCTCCCCAGATCTGATCTTTGGAGACTCTCTTTTTGGAGAATCTTCCTTTAGAGATTCTACTTCTGAGAAATCTTCCTTTTTTGAACTATATACAGGTTAGAATTTTAGAGAATATAATTTTAGATTCTAGAGTTTGGAACGAAAAATTACTCTTTTGGTTGTTGCTCAGATTTAAGAGAGGCAGCAGAGGAAACAGGAGTTCCAAGATTATTCTCAGCTCTTATATTAGGATTAGAATTTGGAGCTGAATAATCATCATCTTCCTCCTCAATATTCTTTTCTGATTTCTTGCTAGATACTTTTCCAATGCTTTCGTCTATCTCACTTGGAGGCTTTTCAATCTTCTTATTCTCCTCAACCACTGGCTTTGGAGAAGGTGTGTTCCTGGATGGAGATACACTCTTTTTCTTTGAAGCCATCATAACAGCTTGGAGATCCTTACTCGGGACATTCTGGGCAGGTTTATTCTTATGATAACTGAGCTGTTGCTTCAGACTATGAATCTCAGAGTCTTTATCCTTCATCTTCTTATTAACCTCTTCTTTATATTTCTGATGTTTACTTTTCTCTTCCTTAGCTTCTTTCTTAAGCTTAAGTATTTCTTTCTGATATTCTCTACACTTCTTCTTAGTCTTCTTCTGAGCTGCTAACAGCTTCTTCTGCTTATCATATTTCTCTTTCAGGTCAGAATGATTATTCTTCGCCTTCTCAGCCAGATCATCCTTGCTCTGTAAAGCTTGAGCGAGAGCGACATTGTCGCTCTCCATTTGCTTTATCAAAGCATCTTTTTCATCGAGCTGCTCTTGAAGGTGGTCAATATTCTCGTCTGGAGGTTGAGGCTTAGCCTTGAGGCTTTCCTCAAGGAGTCCTCTCAGTCGAGTTCATTCCTCCTGCATGACTTCTAGCTCGGTAGTGACTTCATTTATTTTAGTGTACTTTTTCTCCTTTTTCTCCTTATTTAGCTCTGAAAGTTCTTGACGAAGATCTTTCACCTGCTTCTTCAAGGTATTTGTAAGAGAAGATTTTAGGATAGCCATTAATTTATTGTTGTCCACTGGGGAAGCTGGGTCTTTTGAGACTCATTCACTACATTTAAGGTTTTTATTTAGGGAGAGAATGACGTCTTCCATCAGCTGGTCGCGCTTCTCGAGCTCATTCTCTAGAATTTGCATCTGAGTCTTATACTTCAAGTTTTCTTCTTTAATGGTATTGTTGAGAATTTTTAGTTTCATTGATTCTTCATATAAAGTCTCTTTCTCTCCTGATCTTCTTTTTGAATGAGAAAGCTTGCGATTTTTGAAGAATTTTCCTGTCTTTAAGTCAGTTTGGCCATCTTTGCCTTGCTCACCTTTGTCAAAACGAGCCTGGTGCTTGCCTCCAAGCAGAGACGGATAAGCAGATTTTGATTTATTAACTAATAACGGTGACTTAGTTCTTTTCGGTTTTGAGGTGGACCCTTGAGGAGGTAGTTTTAAATTATCTTTTTTGTTAATTGTCTGAGCTTTGGAATCTTCTATCGAAGAAAGTGATTTATCTTCCTTCTTACCCTCACTTTTGTGGCTCTTCTGACTCTTCTGGCTTTTCATGTCCGCAGCTGGTTTTTCTGTTATACTATTATTTTTCGCTACTTCTGTCCTTTTCTTTCAATTCCTTAGACTTCACTCCACTACTCATAACACAAACCCTTTACCTCAACTGCTTCATACTATCCATCTCTTCTCTATCCTTCTCTCCCTCCTTCGACCCTAATTTCACCTTCATTCTCTCCTCCTTCTCAAAATCACCATTCTCCTTCTTATCCACCTGCTCCACATCCTCATCAAAGTCTATAAAACAATTAAAATTCTCTCGAATTTCCCTATTATCCTTCTTCAAAATCCCAAAATTCCCGAAGCTTTTAGCTGAGAGTCCTGCCAAGCTGCCTGCTTGGCTGGTTTATTGCGGCTAGAATAGCAGCTTGGGCTGAAGGATTTAGAGTGAAGGGAAGAGGCTTACCAAATTCGTAAGGGGAATCGTTGTCCATTTTTAATAAATATTTTCTATCTGAAGAGATAATTAAGGGGTTTTGGGGTTTTGGGGTTTTGGGGTTTTGGGG